GGATGCATAATGATGGTGATCATCGATGATGATAACCGTGATGATGACGATGATGTGCCACGGCTATGATGAGGATCCTTATCTTTTTCATATACGATTCAAAAGTCCCGTTAGAGCCGATTGGAGATGCAGAGGGTGCGTAGCCATCATTATCATCATGACTGTTGGTGATGCAGAGGATGCATAATGATGGTTATCATCGATGATGATAACCGTGATGATGACGATGATGGGCCACGGCTATGATGAGGATCCTTATCTTTTTCATACACGATTAAAAAGTCCCGTTAGAGCCGATTGGAGATGCAGAGGGCGCGTAGTCATCATTATCATCATGAATGTTGGTGATGCAGAGGATGCATAATGATGGTGATCATCGATGATGATAACCGTGATGATGACGATGATGGGCCACGGCTATGATGAGGATCCTTATCTTTTTCATATACGATTCAAAAGTCCCGTTAGAGCCGATTGGAGATGCAGAGGGTGCGTAGTCATCATTATCATCATGACTGTTGGTGATGCAGAGGATGCATAATGATGGTGATCGTGATGATGACGATGATGGGCCACGGATGAGGATCCTTATCTTTTTCATATACGATTCAAAAGTCCCGTTAGAGCCGATTGGAGATGCAGAGGGTGCGTAGTCATCATTATCATCATGACTGTTGGTGGGCCACGGCTATGATGAGGATCCTTATCTTTTTCATATACGATTCAAAAGTCCCGTTACAGCCGATTGGAGATGCAGAGGGTGCGTAGTCATCATTATCATCATGACTGTTGGTGATGCAGTCCAACTGTGATCGGGCCGCAGGCCAAAGCCCGTTAGGGCTTACCTTCAGGTATAAGGCCGCGCGCCCCATGCCGCCGACCATGCGCGGACCATGCGCATACGTTTTATGCTGGGCCCTCCCTTATAAGGGGCGAAGGATTTGCGGATTGGTTTAGGCGACTTTTGTAGCATCTCCCCGCAGCGTCCAAAAACGAGCATTTTTAGGGGGTGCCTAATACTGGACAACACCCCCAGCATTGCCAGCATCATCCCGGATGATGCGGATGATGCTATGCATGCTGGCGATGCGAAACGAGGGGCTTAGGGGAAATGCAAGGGAAACAACATGAAGAAGGCACTGGAGAGGAAACAAAATGCTGGAAAATGCAGGCAGAACGCGAAGGGAGCCGGAGGATGGGAACGAAAAGAAATTGTTGCGAAGAGAAACTGAAGGACAGGAGTGCGAGCAGTGAAGGGGCGTTCAAGGAATGAAGGGAGCTGAACAAGGAGATGAAGGGAGCCGACATGAGCGAAAGGAAGTGCAGGGAAAATGCCAGGAAACTGCATGACATGCAACGGAAATGAAGTTCAAATCCCGGGAACTAGCAGGAAGTAAAGGAAACGGAAATGATAATTTCCGTGCGGGGTCAAAAAACCGAGCGTGTTTTTTTGTTGTTGTTTTTTTTGGGGGGGTGCCCGTAGTGGACACCATCCTTGCAGCCACCTGCATCACAGGACAAAAAGGAGGACAAAAAGGCAGCAAATTCTCACATTGATGGAAATGAAGGGCGTTGATGAAAAAAAAATTAGGAAATTTGGAGGTAGGGACAAGGGATGATGGAAAAGGTGTGGAGGATTGATGGAAAGTTCCTGGACAAGGCATTGCTGGCATGAATGGAAAACGGATTGCAACAGGGAGCAACAACTGAGCATCCATGGCGGACATTGCTTCGGATGATGCAGTCGATGCAGGGGGTGGGGATGCTGGGGATGTTGTCCACGGTGAAGGGGGTTTGTGGGGAAATGAAGGGAAATGGGGGAAATGAAGGGAAATGTGGATGGACATTGATAGAAAATTGATGGAAAGTTTGCGGAAAATTGCTGGCCGATGTGTGGAAAATTGGTGCCACTTCATGGAAAATGAATGGGCAATGGATGGGACATTGATGGACAATGGATGGATGGTACATTCGTGGAAAATAAAATTGCTGCACCGTCATGGTAAAAGGATAGGCCGTTGATGGAACATTGCTAGAAAATGGCTGGAGAATGAATAGCGAATGGACATGTGGGAATTCATGGATTCGCAGGGATGGAATGACTGGAAGATAGGTGGAATATGGCTGGAATATTGATGGAGCATGGATGGAAAATGGGTATGTGTGGAATGGGTGCAAAATGGCGGGAAGGTGGACCACGAGCAAACTCTCGGCAGCCTGCTAGACAGACAGGTGGACCGACAAAGAGATGCTGACAACGGACTCGATCTTTGAAACGGTCACATGTTGGCCACGGCCTGCGCTTCCCCATGGTCTGCACTTCCCCGTGCCCCAACTTGGGTGACCCGCCACAAGGCTTGTTGCGAGACCACCAAACCCACCGAGATCATAACACAAGCCTTGGTTGTTAGACCAGAAGCCTAGCACGAAAAAACCTGCCAACGGCCCGCTACACAATGGGACGCAGACAACAGAAGAGGTGTCTCAAATGATCACATCACATGTTTGCCACGGCCTTTTTCTTTCTGCCGCGCCAACACGTCTTGAACGATCATGACGCTTGCTCCAAGCTAGGCTTGTCCGAGCAGCACGCTTGGGCCGAGCTGCATGCTCGCATGGCCGGAGCCACGTTCTGGCTGGCTCTGCTCCTTTGGCTGGAAGCTTTTTTCTCACTTGCCTTGAAACTTCGCTTTTGAGTTTTAATTCCTTTGTGCGGACAAGTCCCTGCGCAACCTGAGCATAACTTTGGTCCGGCCTGTCTGACTTGTGTCGAAGCTCAGCCCTGCTTGTGGCGCTTTTGGCCGGGAGTCTCACTTGGCACTCACGGCACACCCAGGAGGGCCAACGTCTGGCGCGGTACTCATCCCTGCGGGGGCGCGCTCGCCCACACCCCCCCTGGCATGGCGGGAAGGCGCAGTTGTTGCACCAAGAGTCTGCGTTGGCCGTCCTTGCCAAGCTTCCGCCGCATTGGCTGCACGTGTTTGCGGCACACTGGTTGCAAGTCCAGTTGGGACAGACTCTGGCGCGGCACTCGCCTTTGCGTGGACGGGCTTGTCCACACCCGCCCTGGCATGGCGGGAAAGCGCAGCTCTCGCACCACGAGTCTGCGTTTGCTGTCTGTAGCAAGTCTCCACCGCATTGGCTGCACTTGTTGGCGGCACACCTGTTGCAGACCCAAGTGGGGCGATTTTTGGCGT